AAATACATTCTGTTGCATGTACACTTGCTGTCAGCATGCACAGCAATTTGCATGAAAGAGGCTTTTGTGACCTCTTCTGTGCAGGTGTGCATAAGACCTGCACACCATTTCCTGGAATGCTTGGGGGGGGGCTACTGGAGTAACGTTTGTCTGTGTGTCCTATTGACCATGTTCCTTTCATGACCATCAGCTGCGTGTATCAAGTCTGTCCACACAAACCTCCCTTGCATGTACTTCTCCTCTCCCCCGATCTGTGTGGGACATGTTTTGTGGAGGATGGTGGTGTCTTCTCAGTTGACAAACTTGTTCCTTTGCCCCAAGGGTGGAACAATCAGACAATGGCACCTGTCTACTATTTGTACACAGAGAGTGACAGACTGTATACTAGCCTATGACAGGTCCTACAAAGGTGCACAGTTGTGCAGAGATGTGTTCCTGCACATGTGCGCATGCATCTGAGAGAATGAAAAAAAATTAAAGCAGCTGCTGCCAGCCCATGCGGTTGCTCCATCTCCCTTTGCACCATCCTTGGGGCTGGCGCTGCATTTCCTGGGGCTTCAATACAGCCTTGGAAAAGCTGCATTGATTCCCCCCCAGTGTGGTTGGTCCATCCCCATTTAGGGCATCCTTGGAGCAGGTGATGCGGTTGCTGCAGCTAAGGGAAAAGGCATCTTCAGATCACCTTTTCCTGCCTGTCTGCAAAGCCCCATATTACAAATTAATTTACAACACTTTAAAAAATAGATAAAACAATAATTGTGATGATGGAAAATACAGCACATCCCAATTAAGAGCTCTTCTGCAATGGCCAATTAACAATCAAAAGCCTGGGTAAATACACTTGTCCCTCCACATTTGCAGCTTTGACTTTTCTGGATTTGATTAATATGTTCTCTCTAGGAAAATCTATGTCTCCAGTGCAACTCTATGGTCAACTTTAACTAAAAAGTTACATTAAAGGGCCTAGCAATTCCTAGAGAGAACAGTCCACTAGGCAAATGTAGCTCCTCCAGTGCAATTCTGTGGTCAATGTCTGGCAGATGTTGACCACAGAATTGCACTGGAGGACCTAGAGATTCCTAGATATGTGTTCTCTCAGGTAAAAATAGTATTTTTGTTATTTGTAGTTTTTCCACATTCGTGGGGGTCCTGTGCCCCTAACCCCAGCAAATGTGGATGGACAAGTGTAGAAAGGTCTTTGCCTAAGGACAATCCATTCAATCTATTCAGTGATCAGAGGACATCATCTCTCTTGGGTAGAGTCTTTGTAGTTTGTGCATTGGCCTTAC